TTGCCTCCATCAACAGCATTTGTACCAGCTGATGCCGACGGCAGCCCGGACTCCTCTGGCACGGACAGCAGCCCTGCGGGGCCCGGCACCCGCTCTCTCTGCCGGCCGCCCGTTCCCAGGAGCACCAGGACTCCTCTGGGCGGGCGCACAGCCGCCCGTGCCACCCTGTTCTTGCAATTACAGCCTGGATGAACTTGCCTCTGCGAGTTGCTGCGGCTCAGTCTGGTGCAGAGCTGGGGGGTGTTGAGGCTGAGCTGGGGCCACGCTCCTCTCTTTGCTGGGCCATGGAGGTGCCCAGGGGACATGGCCGGCTGCGGAAAGGGGAAGGGCAGCGGTTTCTGGCTCTCACTCAGGGGTCTGTAGCAAGAGCTGCTGCTCTGCCATGGGCTGCTCTGGGGCTGACGTGGCTCCGGCATGGAGCAAGGTGGCCAGCAAGAGGTGGGGGGCAAGGGGCTGCAGTCTTTCAGCTCGCTGCAGGGCAGGCTGCAGAGCTGGGATGACTTTGCTGTGACGCTGTGCTCTCACAGGATGGCTGTAATGCGTGACCCAGGGGCAGCTGTGCTGTGCCAGGGCAGCCAGTGTCCCTCAGCTTGTGGCAGGACCGCAGGAAGCCCATAGACCTGGGGGAAGCTGCCACGGGGAAGTGGTGCTGGTGCTGCCGGGAGTGGTGGTGCACGGGTCTGAGAGGGCACTACCTGCAAGGGCCACATCCCCAGGAGCCCACGGGCTGTCGGTGTCAGCCCGCTGCCCGAAGCAGCACCCCACACGTGGGTGCACCCACCCAGGAGCAGTGGAGCAGTGACCCTCTGTCCCTGTTGGTGTCACCAGCCATGAGCAGCTGCCCTGCCTCTGCAGGGCAGTGAGCATCACTGGGAGGGGGCATTGCATGGCCTGTACTCCCCATCTGGTTGGGACAACCCTGTCTCAGCCCCTGCTCCTCATCCCACCCCGATGTCAGACCCATGGGGCTCAGCACCCACGGGAGCCAGTGGTGACTGTGGTGTGTGCGTGGCTCAAGGACAGGGCATTTCCACTCTGCTCCTGCAGCTCAGAGGGGGCAAGATGGACCAGAGAGGAGAGGGGAAACCTCACTGCCTCTTCTTACCCCTCTGGGGACTTTGCCAACCCCCCCATGGCTCTTCCCAACCCTGCAGGGGTCTTCAGACCCCAGCCAAAGCTCTGCACCCCAGTGGTCACATCCTGGCTCAGCAGAGCCCACCCACCAGCAGCCCCCCTCCCTGCACCCCAGGGACAGAGCCCAGTACAGGGAGATTTACTGGATGCCTAACAGGATTAGCAACTGCAGGCGGGCAGGCAGCTATGTAATAGGATTGCAATCTAATTAAACCTGCTGCTTAGGAGCTAGGCCCCAGCTGGCCGAAGCATGGTGGGGCTTGGGGGGCTGCAGGGGCGGCTGGGGGGGGCAGCAGGGGTGGGGGGGGGGGGGG